TTCCCCACTGTTTTCCTATTTTTAAATTCACGAATTTATGCTCTTATCTTTATTATTTCTTTTCTTCTGCTTGTTTTTGGGTTTATTTTTAAATTCTTTTCTATTTCCTTAAGATGGGAACTTAAATTACTGATTTAAGACCTTTTCTCTTTTCTAATACAAACATTTAGTGCTATATGTTTCCCTCTCAACGAGTGACATGTTAGCTGTAATTTTTAATTTACTTTCTTTTCCTAGATGATTTTCTTTATAGGGTTGAGGTAACACAGAGATCATAAATTAGAAAATGATGTTCCATTTTCATTCAGTTCAATGTGTTTTCTTTTACTTTCCTTGTGACAATCTCTTAGATCTGTGAATTATTTAGAAGTATGATCTTTAACCTGAAAATGCTTGGATAGTTTCTTGTTACCTTTCTGTTACTGATTTTTCTGATTTCCAGTTTGATTGCTTATGGTAAGAAAAAAAAATTTTATAATTGTAATTCTTTTAAACTTGTTGATGTTTGTTTTTTGGGCCAGGATATGATCTGTCTTGCTGAATGTTTCTTGGATGCTGAAAGGAATGTGCATTCTGCTGTTAGCTGGAGCACTCTATAGTATCAGCAAGATTTGATTGCTGGGAGATATTGCTGAGTTCTCTCTGCTGAATTTCTTTTTAGTTCTTCCATGAATTGTAGAGAGAGAGTCAAAGTCTCCATCTATAATAGTGGATTTGTCAGTCTATAATCCATTTGTGCATGTGCCACTTTCTCTTGTCATTTACTTTCTCTTGTCATTTTGTCAGTTTTTGTTTCATGTATTTTTCAGCCCAGTTATTTGGTGAATACACATTCAGGATAACTATGATCTCCTGGTGGATTGTTTTATCTATATGCAATATCCCTCTCTGCCTTGGAAATGTTCTTTGCTCTGAAATATACTTCATGTGATATTAATATAGCCATTCCTACTCCTTTGATTACTGTTTGTATGGTTTATCTTTATCTGTGCTTTTACTATTTTGCTATTTTATTTTGTTTCAGCCATCAAACATAATTTGAAAACTCAAGATGAAAAAGAAAGTGTATCATATTTAACCATACATTTGCTCTTTCTTTTGTTATTTCTTCCTGATACTCCAAGATTCCTTCTTTTTATCATTTCATTTCTGTTTGAAGACCTTCTTAGCAGTACTTTCAGGGTAAGTCTGCTGCTCTTCTAGTTTTTCATCATCTGAGAATGTCTTGAGTCTCCCTTCGTTCCTGAAGGATATATTTGATGGATATAGAAATCTGGGTTGATTGTTCTTGCCTTTTAGCAGTTAAAAATATTATGCCACTTTTTTCTGGCCTCCATGGTTTCTGAGGAGAGACTTGTAGTTTTTCTCTATAGGCAAATTGTCATTTATCTCTCACTGCTTTCAAGAAATTTCATCTTTCTTTAGTTTTCATGAGTTCGATTTGTGGATTGTTGTGTCTTGGCATAGATTTGGGGGGTGTCTAGCCTTTTTAGGATTTGCCCAGCTTCTTAAATCTCTAGGTTTATATCTTTTACCAATTTTTAAATCATTATTTCTTTGAATATCTTTTCATCCCTGCCCTCTTTCTCCAATGATACAAATGTTAGATCTTTTGTTCGTGTCCCACAGATCGCTGAGGGTTGGTTCCTTTTGTTTTTTAGTCTTTTTTCATTTTTCAGATGAATAATTTCTGTTGTTGTATCTTCAAGTTCCCCGATTCTTTCCTTTATACTCTCCATTATATTATGGTGCCCATTCTGTTAGAGTTTTACTTCAGTTGTTTCATTTTCAGTTCTAAAATTTCCATGTGGTCCTCCTTTATAATTTTGATTTCTTGTCTGAGACTTTCCATTTTTTTTCATTTATTTCAAGTGTGTTTCTCATTGCTTGTTGAAGAATTTTTATGGTAGCTGCTTTGAAATCCTTTTCAGATAATTTCGACATCTGTATCACCGCAGTATTAGCTTCTGTTGATTGACTTTTCTCATTCAACTTGAAACGCCCCTGGCTCACAGGATCCCCATGTGGTCTTTGCTGTTACCACAGGAGAGGGGCTTGTTACAGTCTGGTGAGTGTGGAAGTTCTGGTTCCCACTTGGCCTTCACCAAGGAGCTTACTTTTTTTTCCTGTGGAATTTGGCGGGAGCAGTTATTATCTAGGAGTGTTATGTCTAGCTTTAGTACCCCTTTCCTGGCTTTCTGGCTAGGGAGAGCAGGCTTCTCTTGGGGCTTTTTGTTTTCTTTGTAGTACCCACTGACATACCAGCTTCCCAGCACCTAGTCTAGGACATATGAGGGGAAACAAAAAGGAAACCTATCTCTATGCCATTCTTCGGGATCCCAAGGCCCCCAGCTGATCTGCTTCCTCTTCATCTTTACAGTCTCCTTATGCTTGTTTTCTATAAAATGCCAAGTTTTTAGCTCTGCTCAGTGGGACGAATTGGAAGAAATGCATCCACTTCATCTTGCTTCAGAACTAGAAGCCTGCTTTATCGTCTTTAATTGGAGAGTAAAACAATTACATTCTCTTCTCCAGTAAACTCATATGTATTTGTGTCGTTAAATTCCTTATCACCAAACACAATTCATGCACCAGGGAGGTGCTCCAGGCTTACTCTGTGATTTTGGGCACTTTGTAATCCCTGTCAACTTGCACTTTGGTGCATGTGCCCTGGTTTGAGGAGCACTGGTCTGTGGCTAAAACTTGTTGAGGACTCATTATGTGGCCAAACACTGTTCTCACTGTTCTAAGGGATTTATAAGGGTGAACTCATGGAATCCTCATAGCACTCTTAGGTACTGTTATTACCTTCATTTTATTAAAAAAATTGAGTTATGGAGACATTTAATACTTTTCCAAAGTGATGCCACTGGGCAAGAGCAGGAATTGAAAACTAGAGCCCTAAGCTAGTGTATTGGGGTACCTGTCTGTGTTGGGAAAATGCATTTGGGTTTTGAAGCCAGAAGAATATTCCAAGACACCATCTCTGCCTTTTACTGGTGGTGACCTTTGTCAAGTTCCCTACTATCTACAAGCTTCAATTTCTTCATCTGTATAATAGGGAAAACATGACATGCCTCACTATGTTTGGGAAATAATAGATAACATCAACGTCTAGTCTGTGAGGCCCTTAGCATACAGCAGATCTTCAGTAAGTCATTTACTTACTAATGGCAAGTTGCCATTGTTATGGTTTATCCATGTCCACAGGGAGGCAGCATATGTAGTGATTAAGAGTACACACTTTAGAGTTAGACTGATGCATTTGGATTGTCACACCACAGCAAACTATCTGAGAGACCCAGGCGAGCCTGCTTACCTCTCAACATCCTGCCTCTCCAGTAGGTGTGATGATGCCAATTCCAGAAGGCAGTGTGGGCAGTTGAGAGGGTCCTGAGCGTGGAGAGTGTCACAGTGACTAGGTGTTGTGAGGGACAGTAGGGTTTCCAATGGGTCTGAGTGCTTGCATCAGTTCTGGGTGAAATGAAAATGTTTGGTGATGCTACGTGATGCTCCTTCTCTGCATTGGTGCCATCCCCAAGACATCAGTGACTCTCACTTGGGGGCATGGCAAAACCACCCACCAGGAACTTTCTCCAGTCTTGGGCTTCTCAAGCAAGGTATGCTTTTTGTGGAATTTGCCCCTTGACAAGGTGAATTTGCTTCTGAAACATGACCAGGTGTCTTAGCACCCAGATAGAGACTCTCAGCATTTTATCTGACACTGACTCACTCTACACAACCTGTCACAGAGGAACAAAGGCTTTGTGTTTACATGAAGGCTTGCAGTGATGTCTGTGATGCCTGGAGTTGACCAGACACTGTCGTGGGTTGTTGTGTTTTTCCAGAATTCAATGATCAGGGCTGATATTTTGCAAACATGTTCAGTTATTTTCAAAAACAAAGTTAATAAAGTTCAAGAAATTTAGGTAGTTTTCCCAAAATATGGTCTGTGTTTCTTTTTGTTTGTTTGTTTTGTAAAATAAAATGTGTTCAGAAGAGAAGCCAAGAGAATCCTACCACTTTCTTGAAATGCCCAAGTCTGCTCTAGAATTTCAGGAGCTGTCTCGCTCTTGGATGCAGTTTTTGTGTTTAACTGTAGCTCTGTTGAGGGACTCTTGCTGTGGCTCTTTCTGAGTAGCCTCTTCCTACACTTATGGCCAGGGAAGAGAGAATGTCATGATCCTTACTATTATAATTACCACATGCTAGGCTCTTACTGCTAAAAAACTTAAGCCTTTTGAAACCAAAATCGTAATATTTGCAGGGGCTTCCCTTAGTGACCGAGCAGCACTGAGCAATGGCTACAGAGCATGCATTACCTATGCCAAGTGGCATCTGTCAGCCCTTGGAAGCTGGGGTAAGAATTTGTGGAGATGCAGGTACAGTGGAGGTGGCACACAATGAGGGGTGCTTTCCTCTTCTTATGACTGCTTTTGTATCTGTGCATACCCTCCTTGTCCACATGTCTCAACCTCACCGACTACAGAAGAAAAACTTCTTCTTCCCTATTCCTTTCCTTAGACAACAGTTGGCCTTACTTTCCAACACTACTTCTCCAGCTCTCCTTGGCCTTAAGTGTGAGGGACTTCAGGAGCCTGTGGGAAAGTGGGATCTCTGGGAAATCTCCAGAGAAGAAAAGTTGGAAGATGACACAAGCAGAGGAAACATCCAGAGATTTAAATGGTGGCCCAGCACATGGCATTGAAAGACTAACAGTCTAACATTATAGATGAACAAACAGAGGCTCCATATAGCCATTAAAATTTTGAGAAAACCTTAAGCAGGTCTCAAATAAAATTGCACACAATGGAAGATGTCTAATAGCAGCATGCATTCACATAATTTAGTCTACAACTTTCTGATTTATAGAAATAAAAGGTAGTGAACGTTGTGAAAATGCAAAGGTGCTAAGGCCATGTTCCCATGAGCTACGAGTCCATATCTCATGAGGCTGTCCAGATTTCGGATGCCATAACTCATTTCTCTTTGTATTTCAGGTTGGGCTTCCCAATGATGATTGTGTCCTGCATCGTTGGGATGTGTTATCTTCTTGTGGCTCATGTGGTGGTGGGATGGAATTAATAGACATCCATCTGTCACTCGAAAACTAAAGGAAACTTCATCCATCACAACCCATCAGTCATAAAACTACCCTGACACCACTGTTTGGAGAAGAAAAGGTGCTTACCCTGGAGATGCTATGGAGACACAGTGGAATAAACCTTGACACTAACACTCATTCCGGTGAATGCTGGAACACCGTGGCCTCCTCTTTGTGTCCTTTCTCCCCAAGGACAAAATGTAGAAAATGTGAGATAACTTACTCGAGATTCTCCTCCAGAAAAATACGTATGTTTCAAAACCCTTCCTGCTATACATAGGAAAAGACACACATGCACCCAAAATTGCTTGTGCTGTTTAATTGTCAATTCTCTTGAGGCTAAACACAGTTTGTTTTTTCTTGTAATCACTTTTCATGTTAAAATAACCAGCACTCAAATTGTATGCTCTCTGAATATAGACTTTCTGGGAAAAGGTTTACTGCTTATAAGGAAACATTTTATATATTAAACTGTTCCTTGATAAAAGCCTTTGGAGTAGTTTACATTATGTAAAATTGCATTTTATCCATTTATGTTTTTCTCTGCAGTTTTAAAGTTATCAATTAAAAGTCCAGAAATTTGACTTGCCGAAGATCATAGATATCTTTTAAGGGATATTTTACACATTTAACAGCCAAGAGTAATGATTTTCCATTTTGCAAGTGGTGCATGCTATTTTCATCAATTACGCAGATGGACAGTGGATACGCTCAGCCCTGCTCTCCCTGCAGGACACTGTGGCTCAGTCAGTGTTTATTAAATGCAGTTCTTTTGTGCAGCATTCCTGAAAGGCAAAAGGGTAATGAGAACAAAGATCAAGGGGGAGCCCTGTGCTTCCTCCGAGGTCTCCTCTGCTCTGCCTCATCAGTATCATGGTTATGCCCCAGAGGAAGAAGCCCTTCTTCAGTTTCCGATCTTCTGTGCATACCTTGGAATAAAAATGTCTGGGGACGCTGCTCCGAAGTGATTGTGTGTCAAGCGTCTGACTTCAAAAGGTCCAAGCTGCTCAGGACACTAAGAACTGCAAAGCAGGAGACCTTTCTGGTCCCATGTCTGCCACGGGCACCCTCAGGATGGGTGTCCCTGTCTACTGTTCAGAGTCTATATTGTAGAATGGCAACCTAGTTCCTCCCTGAAAGGTTGGGAGTGTTTATGATAATATGCCTTTTGAATTCCTTGACAGCAAAGCTGATGTGCAACCCTATTTTATTTTAAAATATGGTGTTGGACAACATCACACAGAAGCCTCCAGACACGTGCAGCTGACTGGATGTCCTGGAGGAGCCCCTGCCACAGTCTGTCTAGGAAAGGGTTCTTCCCGCTGCTACCACACCGCCTGTACTTTGCTTGGTCTCACTGGACCTGGATGTGCCTGAGCTGGTCACTGAAAAGCATCGTTTCCTCTTCTATCCCACATCAGGATGCCTGGGGGCAGCACTATCTCCCTCGTGTCCGGCTCCTTCCAGCTCAGCTCACGTCTGCTCTTTCATCCTTTCACATGTCATCCCTTAACAACGCTCAGGCCCCGTCTCCCACCCGCTGCCTCTCCTCATTGGCATCTCTCTCTACTCTTCAGTCATCCCTTCTCATTCTTGAGACGGAGTCTAGCTCTGTCACCCAGGCTGGAGTGCAGTGGTGCTATCTCAGTTCACTGCAAACTCTGCCTCCCGGGTTCACGCTGTTCTCCTGCCTCAGCCTCCCGAGTAGCTGGGGCTACAGGCGCCACCACCACGCCTGGCTAATTTTTGTGTGTGTGTGTGTTTTTAGTAGAGACGGGGTTTCACTGTGTTAGCCAGGATGGTCTTGATCTCCTGACCTCGTGATCCACCTACCTTGGCCTCCCAAAGTGCTGGAATTACAGGCATGAGCCACCGCGCCCAGCCCAGCCCTTCTCATTCTTAAAAACCATTAGCTCTGGGCTGATTTCTCCCTCTTGCTCATACTCGCGGCCTCCCCTGAGGTTCCTATTCGTGCCCCCCAGTTCTGATTTCTCTGCCCTCACCACCTTCCCCCACTCCCCTCTGTGTTACACCCACCCTGGGTCCCCAGGACCTGCCTAGGTCTTCATCTCTGTGGTCTTTCTCTGACACTCCAACACTTCCAGTCATTTACCCCAGGTTACCCTCTAAAACAAACCTTGCCCCGCTGGAACCTCTTGTTCATTGGCCCCGTACATTTTAACTTCCCCTGTCAACTCCCTCTTAGCTGTTTATGCTCTAAAAATTAAAAGTCAACCAACAAACTGTCCCTATGCTACCTTTACTGCCCCTCAATGTTTCTGAGGCGAGTCATCCCACAGGGATGGCTGGTTTTATTTTTAAGTGAAGATTTCAAGCATCAGACAGGCTCTCGGCACTGCCTGGCTGTTTGATTCCATTTCCCTAGCGCAGGAGCCAGAGGACTGGCTGGAAACAGGTGGCTGCCCACACTGGGTAAGTGCAAGTGACTAGCCAGGGATGGTGCAATCCTTTAGGGTCCGTGAGAGGAGGCAGCTGTGGGTTTCTGAGGGGGAGGGGCCAGTGACCAGGACCTGGAGATGCAGGGAGCCGTGTCCAGAGGGACTGGATGGGAGCCGTGGTCTTCTGCTGGGGCTGTGCCAGCATGAGACACTTGGCAGCCAGGGCGGGGTCCGGGGGGCGAGAGGTGGGCCGTGGGAATCATCCTGAGTTTATGCCTTTCATCCTGTGGCTTCCCTCTGTCCAAGGACTGAACTAGCTGGAAGCCAGGGGACAGGAAGCACTGCTGATGCCGTCCAGGAATGGGAGTGGGGCAGGAGGAGCAGATGGAAGATACTCAGCTTTATGTACTGTTTGGCTCCTCAGCAGATGAAAAGTCCACTTCTGAAGAAAGGAGACACTAAAAGTGCCATGAGCTTTTCCACCCAAGAGTCCACACGAGCTTGCCCACACTCGCTCCTGACACTGTCTCCAGAATTATTAGGTGAACAATCCAGTGCTTATTAAATCCTGTCATTATGATGGAAAAAGACAACCTCGAAGGAAGCGGCTTTAAACGTTTGCTATAAACGTTGGACTGCCACAGGCTGTTGTCCTTGCTAGAGTCTGCCTGACGTCATGTGCATAAAGTCCTAAAGGTTACAGGGACCGCAAGGACACCATTGTACAGTCTGAATTCACCGTGAAAATCTAGATGGTGTGTGTGCTGCAGACGAGGATCTGATCCTCCCTGAGCTTGCATGAGGAGCTGTGCCTTACCTTTGACATACGGCCCCACGCAGGCAATGTGACAGCAGCAGAGTCCATGGGAATCTGAGCCACTTCCTCCTGCAGTGCATGTGTGCCTTCCAGATCCGCTGGGGCCCAGTCTTGCAAATGCAACATACTTTATAACGGAAGATCACTGTGCCCATCCGACGGGACGGTTATGTGGATCAGATAGCCCTTGGCTTGTGATGCACAGCCCAAGTTCTGCAGTCACTCTGTTTCCACAATCAGATCTTCAACCTGCACCAAGGCCCAGTGGCAGCCTGGAGCTGCTTTTCTAGAGAAGACGAGTTCACTAGTCAGAACGGGAAGACAGGGACTTCATTCAAATCTTGAGGTTTGCGCTCCAACTCTCCCCTCAAGGCTTGCCAGCATCTCCCTACAGTGTCTGTGACTGCCCTGGGGATGCCTGCAGCCGTGCTGTGCTATTTCACAAGGCCCAAGTGGCAGGGCACCCAGCATGGCAACCTGGACCTGGGAGCTGCACTTGCTTGCTCTGGTCCCCCTCAAACCTTGCAGCCTTGGGAGGTTATCTGCTAATGGGTTAGAGCAGCAAATCCAATATGTTATATGCTGCCTATAAAATTAAAAGTCGACCATCAAGAATTTTTTTTTTTTTTTGATGATTGGTACAACTGTTTCTCACTTTGCAGGGTAATTTCAAGTCACTCATTCCTAAAATTACCATCAGGATGTTGTATTTCTTTTGTGTTACCATCTTGGTATGAGATGGGCAACTTCCTCATGTAATAGGAAACAAACTTGGGAATTCTGATGGTTATTTAACATGATCTCTCTCAGCATTCATTCTGGAGAAGGGGAATAACCATGGGAGGGGTCCACCATTTCACAGGACCAATTATTATGCGGACTTAGCACAAGAATGCACCTGTCACTTGGCCAACATAAGCCTCTATTCTGTCTTAAGGACCAGAGGATGTTTTGAGTCTCTGAGAATCAGGGAAAATTTAAAACCATTAGGACTATCTAGATATTTCTTACTGGAATGCAAAAGTCACCTGGTAAATGGCCACAGGTCCCTCTGAGGAAGGTGTAGGAAGACCAGTAAATGCATCCGTGGGTCTGTTGCAGGATCTTTCTCAAATGCACCTGGATGACCTCTCTTCAATGACCTGTGAGGCTAGGAACACTCTCAGGTCTGGGAAGCAGCTTGTGTCATTCATCCTTCTTATGATGACTGAAGCTTCTCCCCAGGTCCAGATTCTCTCCAGGTTTCTATGTCAAGCTTCCCACAGAAGCTGTTGCTTTGAGCTCTGTGATCCACTTGCCTTTTGGCAGAGGCCTCTGAAGCATAATGTGGTAACGGCGCCTGTCTTGACTATGACAATTCAGCACACCCCTGGTCTTCACCACCTTGGAATCCCGTTATTCCTACTGAGAAAAGAGAACTTTATTCCATTACTGCCTCTCCTACTGTCAGCAACAGTCTCCAAAGGACAGATGTCAGAGACTTCTAAGGACACTGGTGGCCCCCCCGCAACACTGCATTTATTAATGCTTCAATGCAGGAAGTGTCCACTGGATTCTCTCGCAGGGAATGCTAGGGAACAGCTGAGTAGGGGACACATAAAAATCTGAGCCTTTGGACTCCTTTCTTTATATGCCCAATATTAACCAACTGTGCATATTAAATAACGCCTGTTCCAAGTGGTCAAGCTAACACATTAAGTCTCAAATTCCCGGTGAGTGTGCCTGTCCAGGAATTTGGCCCATTCAAGCCTTGTATTTTATCCTCTGGGATGTAATATACTTAGATTCTATTTCCTTAAGTGCAATCCAAAGAGGGGTTGTAGTTCTGTAACTTTTTCAATAGGCAGGTTAATTTGTCTTGAAGGAGACTTTCTACTTCTCTATCCAGGATGCGTTAGTATCTTGTAAGAGCCCTGGAGAAAATGATGGGTATTGAGGGATGAATCTTGAGACAAATACACATCAGTTTGTGAGGCAACTAACCAAGGTACAGTCATTAGATGACTTTAAGTGGAGAAAAGAGGGATGGGCTTGTGGATCACAGGGAGATAGCATGATTCTTCCCACTTAACTCTTGGTCAAGATTGTCTTTGCTAACACCTATGCTTGCAAATAAATTTTAGGATAAGCTTGCTTATGCCTATTTAAAAAAAAACTTGACCTGATGTGATAGAAATCACACTAAACCTACAAGTGAATTTGGGCAGAATTGACAATTTTACTATGTTGAGCTTTCCATCCCTTGGATATGATATGTCTCTCCATTTATTT